ATGCTGGGTTTCCTATATACTAGGCAAGTGCTCTGTTACTGAGCTCCAGCCCCAGCCCCTGCCCATCTCTCTCTTTTAAAAAAAAATCTTACTAAAGATCCCTATAGGCCAGGCACTGGGGTGACTCACGCCTATAATACTAGCTACTCAGGAGGAGGCAAAGATCAGGAGGCTCACAGTTCAAAGTCAGCCCCAGGCAAATAGTGTGTGAGACCCTATCTTGAAAAAAACCTGTCACAAAAGAAAGAGCCAGTGGAGTGGCTCAAGCAGTAAGAGCACCTGCCTAGCAAGTATGAGGCCCTGAGTTCAAAATCCATGCCACCAGGAAAAAAAAGATTCCTGTAAATACAAAGACATGCCGAAGGGAACTATGGGGCTCAGATTATCTTTAGATTCCATGGTTGGAGATAAACAATAGACAGGACATTCCTTCTGTGCTTTTCCTTTCCAAGTCCCCTTCACATTCATGTCTCGCCAAACCCAGTAAAACAGTTGGGAAAAACATTCTCCCCATTTAACCATGAGGAAAATGAAACCCAAGGGGTCTGATGACTGCTTGGATGTCCCTGAGCTGTTGGGAGGTTGAGAATAGAACCTAGAGTTTGGAGGAGAGAGTAGAAATGATCTTTAGGAGGATGGCCAGACAGGATAAGCTAGCTTCAGGTGTTTTGTGGGTAAGAATAAAGGTGGTAACTGCGGGTGAGGATTCCTTAGGAAAGCCCATGAGGCATCCCTACAAGCGGTTCTGATGGACTTTGTGTAAGTCATCCTCACTGGCATCTTCTCAACCTCCCCTGAAACTGATAATCATAGTTCATATCATTAGCTCATTCATCTTACATGAAAGCTGGAATTTCTATAAATTTCTTTTGGCAGTACCAGAGTTTGAACTCAGGGTCTCAAGCTTGCTAGGCAGGCATTCTACCACTTTAACCATGCCCCCAGCCCTTTCTGCTTTAGTTATTTTTCAGATAGCATCATGCTTGCCCAGGCCAGCTTCACACCACAATCTCCCTATCTCCTCCTGAGTAGCTGGGATTACAGCCATGTACCACCACACCTCGCCCTTGAAATTGGTATAATTCTTGACCACAGAGGAATGCTTTCCATTCCTCTGTGTTTTACACTCTTGGTGGAGTGTAAAGACCATCAGCAAAATCTTCCAAGCCTGGGATCAGGGAGACTTCCTCCAGTGATGGAGAAACATCCATAACAGCTGCCAGGTGGGGGTCTCCTGAGACTATTCATTGAGAACATGTAGAGACCCTCTGATGGAAATCTTCCTGAGAACATTTTTTACCACTATACAGCCAACAAATGTCTTCAGCCTCTTCCTTCAGCTGCTTCATCCCCTGGGATGATCCATCCTGAGCAGAGGAAGTGGAACATCCTCCCCCTGCCACCCTGCTCAGAGCACACACGCCCACCCCTGCAGATGGTCACATTCCCTCATCCCATACCATTTTCAAAAATCAAAGAAAGTGGCACAGATTATCCAGTAGTAAGGAAAACAGATGCCCAAAGCACACACCAAATGGATCCCAATAACCAAGAGACACTGTATTCCCTCTGCCAGCATCTCCCTTTTCCTGGGGCGTCTCAATATAAGATTACCACATGCTCTTCACCACCCCAGACACCCAGGCAAGATTCTAGCAGAGCGGAACCTCTCCCCTGATAGCCCTGAGAGAACTGGGGCCTTCCATCCCAAGCCCAAGATTGAGTATGCCCAGAGGAATGTCACCCCGCCAGCCTCTGTAGATGACCAGATGGAAGCCACCCATAGATCTTCCTTGAGGAGTCTCCTCCCACCCCTCCTACTTAACCCATTTTGTCCTCCATCAAGCGAAAGCCCAGTGCCCCTGGGGAGCAGGGCATTTTGCACACACTTTTTGCTGTCTCCTTCAGTTTATTTTCTCTGCTTGAGCAGAAACACATGAAAAAAGCCACCTCTGGATTGCCAGGCAGCACATTTCTGACAGGAAGATCTCTGGAAACTTCTAGTAACTCCTCTTTGGGGAACTGAGCTTTTCAGGTTTTGAAGTACAATGGGAAATTTGTGGCATGGGCAGAAAGTCTAGGACTTTATTCCATGGCAGCAAAATCTCAAAGATAAAATCACTTGGGAGAGAAAGATGTGAAAGGGGGGATGTGTTGATAATTATAATAAAATAATAACAATAAAAGGAGAGAATGCCCTGTGAATGAAAGGTCTCTGAGAATTCAACAAAGTCCGCTAGAATATGATAAAATCTTTTCTTAACAATTAGTAGCATATCTTCTGGCCAGTCCTAGATCAATTCTTGGACACACTCTTTAGATCTCTGTGTTGACCCCTCTGAGGACATCCAGTGAGTTGGTTCTTGAACTTGATCAAATTAAATAGGAATGGTAAGAAGTAATAATGTAGCTCTTACCTATCATGCCTTCAAGTGCATGCAATATCTGGGGCATTTTGCTCTTTATTCCTTTTCTCTCTTCCTGGACACATTTTGACTCTCACTCTTTACAATGTCTTCACTGGGAGATGGTCAAGGTTAAAGAAGGTAAAATGTCACCCCAGTCAAGGTGCTAGTGTCCACTTACCCTGAGGACAACTATGATGGGAGAGAGCCTGCATAAACCAGGTTGGGCATTTAATGGTGCAGAAGTTTTACTGTGAATAATAGTACAGTGTGGTTAATATTCACCAACAGAACACCCTGGAACTACATAATGGGTTGTGCAGAATGGAAGACTTCCTCCTTTTCCCTCATCCCTGCTCCCCGCCACACCCACAAGTTAAAGACATTTTCATTCAGCAGAAGACTCAAATGGTGAACTAAATGCTATGCCCACACTTTCTGCTGGTTGGCTTTGAGCTGCACGGGACATAACCTCCTAACGGATGTTAACCATTAGCCCGTCCTTGGCCAGTAAATGTTTGAGCAGTGCACACACCAGTATGATTACAAGTACCCTGAGCTCGTTAGGAAGCTGATCGGTGGGAAAGGAAACGGACATCAGGAAGGTAGAAGTGATCTGTTGTGCAAACCTTGGGCAGTTTCTGTTGAATCATTTGCGCACTGTTCAATGATTTACATTCTGGTGGGACCCAGTAATCCCACACTGCAATTCTAAACATTCTTTCCCATCCCACCCTGACAGTCCATATCAATTACAGAGGCTGTAAAGCCCTCGTGGCTGGTTAAACTTAAAGAATTATTGGCTCCCATTCTTCCATATGCTTGTTCCTTTTCTCAGGCCACACTTCTGAGGTGGCTCAGTAGCAAATATTCCAGCTTTGAAATTCCCAAGCCTGAAAGACCTTAAGGATATCCCTTCTTCAAAAGATACAATTGCCTGAATGCATAGTCTTGAATTACAGAGACTACAATTATTTTGGACTCCCTCAAAATAATTAGAAAAGTTCATAAATCAAAATTTGGTTTATAGTTCAAGTAACACATAATTAAAAGTAACCCTCTAAGCTAAATTTAGTTATAGATATTGTTCTGAGAATATGTTGGCTGAGACTGAGTCCTTATTGATTGGGGGAATGAGTCCTAAGGACAGTCATGTACTAGACAAGTAGTTGGGGACTGTTTCCTGCCCCATAATTGCCATTAAAGCCCTGTGACTTTGTGCAAGTCCCTTCATGTTTTTGAATTTCTGTTGTCAATAAAAGCATTGGGCTGGCTAGCTGATCTCTAAATTTCTCCTAGATCTAGCTCTCATCTGGTCACTCAATAGACGATGTAGTGCTAGTAGGGAAAGAAAAATGAAGACTCACTTAATCTTGACAACAGAACTATGGCATCTGTTAATTTGTTTATTATCACGGAATGCTGATGCATCCAGGTTTCCCTTTGTCTTTAACATATGAGCTCTTATAACAAGACAGTGTCATGCACTTAAAAGTTTATTGAGAGGGTTTTTAACACACATACACAGAGAGTTTTGGAGTGAGGGACATATCTATAACCTTCATTGTGATGATGGTGTCATTAGATGTGTACGTCAGTCCAAACTCATCAAACATACACGTTAAATACAGGTAATTTTTATACATTTCAATTGATACTTAAATAAACTGTCTTTAAAACGTAGGAACTACAAGCATGTTCACTTACCAACATACACATATTCTGATGAATGTGCTATCGTACAAACGTCATACGGTGAATTTTACGAATGATGATGCTATGACATCACGAGGTAATACAATCCCATGGGTTCATCATTGTAAATGCAGTCTGCCATTGGTCAAAACATCCCTATATGCATCCTGAAAATTTTTACATTGTATTTTTTTTTCAAAAACCGAGGAGAAATTCGTATTCTTTTAAGATCATGACAGTAGATCAAAATGAAGAATTTGCTGGAGGAATTAATAGAGCAGAAATGTGTCTAAACTTAACCCCATCATTACGCTGACCAACAGAACCTTTTGCAATGATAGAAATGTTCTATATCTGTACTGGCAAGATGATAGCCAACAGCTACATTGAACTATGAGCACATGAAAGAAATGTGTCTCGTATAGCTGAAGAATTGTATTTCTAATTTTCTCTAATTTTGATTTTAACCTAGCATCTTAATCCCATTAAAACATTACTTTCAATAAAGCCTTGCTATGAGTTCTGACATAGAATTTACAATGAAAATGCAATTGACTGTGAATTACTCTTATTCCAGTGATTAATAAGATGAACGAGTTTGTAAAAAGCTGGGAATGGCACACCCTTCAATGTCTCAACAAGGTTTAAAGACGAATCCTTTAAGTGACACACAGGCCAGAAGCACTGGTGCCTGCTGCTTAAAAGATGTGCAAAGGGTGACAGGGAGTGTTAGGAACCAAATAATTCAGAGCAATGGTCTCAGGGAGCAGAGATATTCCATGAGTATTTGAGATTCTGGAGAACTCCCCAGAAAAGACCAGGTCTCTTTTCAGAGAGCTGATATGAAGAGGTCATTGTTAGAACACTAAACGTACCTTGCTTGTTGATTTTCCCTTTCAGGAGCTGATTGATGTTGACAGTGAGGTGGTATTTGAATTAGCTTCCTATATTTTACAGGTAAGTTGCTCTACACAAAAAAAAAAAAAAGGAAACAAGACTCACCAGGCACAGGCAGTGGCCATAACCACTTTGTCTTCCTAACTTTCTCTAGCGTCCAGCTGGAAGGAGTTATTGGGAACACTGATACCATGACTATAAATAAGATTTTCTAGTACTCCAAAATTTTATGACAGTATATCACTATAAAGTAGAGTTGTGAGATTAAGCTGAAATCATTCAGTGACCCCATTTTCTTTGAGGTTGGTATCTTTTTTGCTCTAGGAAAAACTAAGTGAATAGCTAGAATGAATTACCAAATAATCATTTCATGCCCCTAAACACAAAGAAAAAATCTTCAGCTTGTGTTGTGTGTGTGTATGTGTGTGTGTGTGTCTCTCTTTGTGTATGTGTGTGTGTGTGTGTGTGTGTGTGTGTGTGTGAGAGAGAGAGAGAGAGAGAGAGAGAGAGAGAGATCTTCCAGAGTATTGCTGTAATGATGATAAGGTGAGTTGAAATTGCATCATGAAGCTGGTCCTTCAACACACAACTCTGTGTGGACAGTGTTATGCCAGATTAAGTGAAGTTTCCACAGCCCCTGCCTCTACCTGGAGAGTCTTTGGTATAATAGGGAAAGAGCCACAAAACAAAACAAAAAGTGGTATAAGAAATAAATAGTTCTAGCCAGGCACAGTGGTGCATCTCTATAATCCCAGCAACTCGAGAGGCTGAGGCAGCAGGACAGCTTGAGAGCAGGAGTTTGAGATCAGCCTGGGCAACACAGGAAGATTCCTGCTCAAAAAAAGTGGGGGGGTGGGAAGAGAATGGAACAGAATGAGAAAAAGGGACAGTTATATCTGAGCACACATCAGATACTTCAGATTCAGAAACTCTAATCTTAAACAAGTTAGGCCAAGGCCTAGAGTAGAAACTTACTTATCACTCTCTTTGGATATAATTTTCTAAACTTTAACTTTGTGTTCCTTCTGAATGTATTCCTATAACAAATAGGGTGAGAGCAGGGGGAGGCTCTTACCTCACTGAGCAGAATGTCATGATCTAGCATATATATGAAAGTCCAACACTGATGCTGAATTTTTTCTTCCACAGGAAGCAAAAGGAGATTTTTCTAGGTAAGTTTACAAAAGTGGTGAAATATTCTGTTGTTTTTCTGTATTCTGTATTCTGTTGCTTTTCTGTTAACAGAAATTATCCTGTCTGTCCTTTGTGGGGGACAATTTATTCATGTATATGATGAGATCCAGCTGTCAGCTTGTCAGTGAAAACAAGACAGAGAAAACATATAGCAGAGACAACATTCTATATGGAATGAAAATCCTACAGGTCACTAAAAAACTGAACTCAGAGCCCAAAGCCACACATGCACATTGCTTTCAGATTTGATGGGTTGGCCAAGTGTCTCCATGAAGCCTGGAATCACTCCTGTGCTGTGACTATGGGTACAGATATAGCCTGGCAGCCCTAATTAGTATGTGGACCTCTTTTTTTTTTTTTTTTTTTTTATCTCAATTTAGTTCCTGATCCTCAAGGGAAAGAACTCTGTCCTACAGGGAGAGGTGTTTCATGCAAGTGTTACAACATAGACATTCCACTTCTCCTTTCCTTCCTTCTTAAGATGTTGTGTTGGAGAAAACATAAACAGATTTAATTACTGGGAACAGCTTTAGTAACCCTACAAACTTCAGCCTTGCCATTCATTCGTTAAGCACTGCCCATTGAGAAATATGGCTGCGATCATCCACAATCCCACACCAGAACCTTCAGTTGTAGACATCCCCAGTAGAACCATCTACTCAAAGACACATGCTTTGCCAGGGGTTTTGTTCTACCAAACTTCTCTAAGAAAAGGCCGAGATAGCCCATGCTTTAGAATCAAAGTCTTTAGGCAAAAGGAGAGACCCACATGCACAGGAAAGTGAAGTGTTAAGGCTTGGCTTGGCCCATCAGTAGGATGGAGGAAAAATGGTAGAAAAAAGAAACATAAATCATACTTCTACACTATCAAGAAATACATATGTTTTGCCCTGCTTCAAAGGATTTGATCACTAAAGGCAACATAACCAAGCTTGGGGTACACAATGTAGGTCAGGTAGTTCCACAAAGGTAAAATATTATGTTAAAATCTAAAACAAGGGTTGGCAAACTTTTTCTGTAAAGAACCAAAGAGTCAATAGCTTGGGTTTTGCAGACCACCATCTGTTGCACTCAATTCTTCCTAAAGCAAAAAGGAGCCTCAGATGATAGGTAAACTGATGATCATGGTTGTGTTTCAATAAGACTTTATTTAGGGACATGAGAATTTTGAATATTAATATAAATTTTCATGTTTCATGAAATCTTCTCCCCCTCATCCTGCTCTTCTCTTCTTTCTTCTCTTCTTCTTCCTTCTTCCTCTCCCTCTTCCTCTTCCTCTTCTTCTCTATCTTCTCCAGTTAAAAATGTAAAATCCATTCTTAATTCTCAGGCCATACAAAAACAAGAGGATGGCTAGATTTGGCCTGTGGGTTGTAGTTTGTTGACCCCTTATCTAAAATAGAATACCTTTGGCTCAGTTTGAATATTTGTACAAGGAGACCTCCAGGTCCCTCTTATTTAGGTTTCCCAAGTCCTGCATAGAAAGAAGAGATAGTCAAATTTTGAGTAGATAATGACTATGAAGAGCTAGAGACCTTGAACATGGTAGGTGGCCAATTGCCATTTACTGAATTTGTTCAATGAAACGTTTTGGGGTTATACAAACTATAATTTCTAACAATTTTTCCATTTGTTGCTATCTTATGAACTTAATTTGGTACTGGAATTTGGGGTCTCGATAAGTACAAACCCATCTACTTAAAAGATTTCTAGGGTCCTGTGAAAATGGTTTGAAAACCACAAACCCAGTGAATTCCATTGTCTCATCTACTTACTCTCAAGATACTTTTTCGTTCGCCAGCTCTGAACCCTGCTGTAAATATTATTTATTTTTGAGAGTGTCCTGACAGGATGGAATGTGAACCAGGAACAACCTCCTCTGGCCCCATAGATCATGGGAATCAGGCCACACGGACTGCCAGGGAGGAGGAAGTACAGGCCTGGCCCCAGCAGTCATTGGTGGCCCCCTTGTGAGCTGGTGGAATGCCAGTATGTTGGCTAGGTTCAGAGAAACAAAGGGTCTTGGTTGAGCTCCATTTGTCAGAGAGCTGTCTGGCAGTTTGTAAATGTAGCTGTCTGGGGAGAGAAATAGCTGTCAAAGGAAGGAAAGGTCAGACACCTTATCCAAAGGTCAGTTTATCTCATCACAGAAAACCTGCCCCATTGATGGCAGAGGCAATCTGTCACAAGGGAGTCCCTAACACACACCCGTTTTCTGGAGCAGGTCCACGGTTAGTCAAACTCTTCAGAGGTGCTGAGAAATTAGTGTGCTTGAGTGATCAGGAGTTTTGGAATAAGGGAAGTTAATTTTAAGTTCCTTGTGTGTGCCTCTTCCCATCTACTTCTGGGAAGATCCCCAAAGCATGGAAATTGACCAATTTGCTTTGGTGGTTGAACATTAGGCATTTTAGACGTCCCATTCTTATAATTTAGTTTTTACAGAAAGTGAGCTTTGCTAATAGTCACTAATGCATGACAACCATCCTTAGTGGTATGTAACTGAATGGCTTTGAAACATGGTCTATAAATGTAAAATGCCAGCTTAGAAATACAGAGCCTTGGAGGAGGCTTTTAAAACCTGTGTAACACAGGGTCCAGGGTTTAATTCTAAGATTTTCTAGAATCTAGATGATCAGATAGCCTTTGACATCAATGACCACACTCAAAAGGCACAGTAACTCTTCAGAGCCCAAGGGGTCTTAAATCTGTAACTTCCTAAAAGGTTATTTTGCCCAGGGAGCTATTATTTATATACTTACATTTCAGGGACTATGTGCAGGTTATACATATGTGGAATGAGTATTAAAAATCTGCAAATTATTTGAGCCATTTCCTTGAAGCACAGTTGAAAAAAAAAAGCGGTTATTTTTACAAATGAGAGAAGTCAAAAGTGCTGACATGCTTTATGAGAAAGAGAACGATATAACGACAAATCAGAACTGTAACCTCTTTCTCATGAAGCTTTCTGGCTTTTGTCTTTCTTCTTTTGGACTCTCATTTTGCTCAGCAGATCCCCGAAGGCTTATTCTTATGTAACTCTCTTTTTTGCAGTTAATAGAAATGTTCACTTCCTTGTCTTTTGAACTTGACAATGAATGTTGGGTTTAGCATTGCTGAAAGCAAGTGACTGAGGTATAGACAGATAAGTAGTATTATCGTGATAGGAAGAAGTACATGTTCAAATTATGACCGATGGTGGACAAATTGGTACAATATCATTAAAGGGTCAGGAAATAGTCTTATCTAAAAATAATGTTTTCTCACTTGTATTATTTTCTGTATCACAGCATGGGTAATCTTGTTTCATTTCCTGGCATACATACATGTAAAAAGGAGAAAAATGTCATGTCTGTCAACATTCAGGAAATCAGTACAGTTGGCATTTCTTTTTAAAAACAATTGAATGGCCTCAGAGGTGTCGGTCAAGGTAGCAAGGAGCAGAATATTAGATGGAGAGAGGCCAACGCTGTCAAAAACAAAGCTTCTCATTGGATAATTGCCATTGAACGAACATTAGTCAACCAGCAGACGCTGCCTGTGATTTATACAAGCGTTATTTGTCACACATGTTGTGTTTTGAGTGCTCAGCAATGACTTTTTCATTTTAAAACTTTTTTAAATGAGGCTTTTGTAGAAGAATGTTTTCTTCTTTACCAAGGTCAATGCAGAGAACACCATTTAATCAGCTGACAAGACATCCAAGCTTTCTAGTGATGTTCTAATTTAATTTGATAGAAGACTCTATTAAGGAGGCAGTAGGTACAAGAACTTGATTGTGGGTGGGTGGGGTTTCCTAAGGGGAAGTTAGCTGAAAATCCTATTGACAAATCTCCTCACCCTACTCTTGTGTATCATCTCACTTGTCACCTTCTGTCAGCCCTTCTGTTCTTTCTGAGAATGTGACACAAATTTAAAATCATAATATCTTTAAGCAATTTTGCAGAAATGAAATGACTTTAAGTTGCTTTCTGCTGAACATGACAAATCACAAATGCTCAAATCAGACCTTTGATATAGACAATCATCCATCCATTAATGGACCAATAAAAAATCTGTTATGTAGAATTTTTTGTTAACAAGATTTATTGAAACCAGGGCAGCAGAGTTCTGTGGCTCTGGGCTGTCTGCTGGGACCTGGAAGTACCTTTGTGACAGAGGACAGAGGTGCTGATGCTGGTCATTAGAACAGGACTCTCCCAGCATGAAATTCATAAGGCTAGTCAGCCAGCAACACCTGAGAGACTGGTATTAAGGAAATTCCATGTGAAGGTCCACGAGCCACACTCTGCCTACCTGGTAACTCTCTGTTCAACAGGATCTATCACAACATCAAAGGTTGACAGGAGAGATGACAAGAGGCACCCTGTGTCTGCAGGCTCCCCATTCCAAAGAAACATAGCCACCAAAGGAGAAGTGTGGTTTTGACTGAATACCTTGGGGTTACTATAAATGACACATCTGTACAAAATTAAATGCTAGTCCACAGGAGAGAATATTAGCTTATCAATGTTTAGTGGCCCATGAGAAATCTGACTGTGTCTGATTTCTATAGGATTCTAATTCTGTTTCTTTATATAAAAAAAGGTCTTGCTTTTAGAAATACAGAAATGCATTATGCATTCGATAGAAATAAATGCAGTCCTTCATTAACAAGGAAAATTGACTTTCATCTCCATTTCAGAGGGGGAGCTGGAGTAGTTATTTGTTCCAAAAAATTCCCATTATCTTTAAGACACTGTATGTTCTGAGATCCCCAGGAGAGCAAGTAGAGCAAAAAGCATTTAGAACTTTTAATATTTTATCTTTTGTAGACCATGGGGCTGTGCAGTCACTAATCTGGAGAGAAAGAAAGTTTTGTGGCCAAAACAAAAATGCCCTTGTGATTTTTTTTTTCTTTTCTTGAAGTCTGGTGGGTCTTTTTAAAAGGACATTTGTGAATGAATGTAAACTAATGTTGGCTCCCCATCTCTGAAAATTC